TCTATGATGGTACTATGATGGCTCTATGATGGTACTATGATGGCTCTATGATGGTACTATGATGGCTCTATGTTGGCTTTTTAACAGCTCTATGACGGCTCTATATGCCTCCCAGGTCAACATCCTTAGTAGAAGGACCCAAGCTAATTAATTGGAATCGAGGAAAACTGAAATCTCTCATCAGTTCAGCCTCAAACGGTTTATTGCGGCTCAGGTTTGCACCAGATAAACCAAAATTATTTGTTTTGCTACAACAGAAGCAAGCAAAAACTCTCAGATAAGGAACTGAATGGAAACGTTGTTTTTAAAACAAAGGAAGACCTCATAGTGATATTTTTTTAATCCATTTACCCTTGTTGTCGTAATTGTCTTTACTCACACTGCACCACCAGATGGATCAGCGCCTCTCGGGGTTTGACGTTGAAGCCGTTGTACTGACTGGTCTGACAGCGGTAGGTTCCGCTCATCTTCCTCGTCACGTTGTAGATCCTCAGGATGCCATCATAGCTCTCCATCTGAGCCGTGCCGTCTGGCATCACAGGCTCTGCGGCTGCTGCTGGACCGTTCTCTTCCACCCGAGACCACAGTATGATGGGTTTGGGTTTCCCTGACACCAAACACTGCAGGTCCACAGTCTCTCCTTCCAGAACAGTCAGGTGGGATTGGCCCTTAGGCACCGTGAGCTCTGGAGGGACTGAAGACAGAGAAAACATGGAGGTCATTATGTAGAGAGGCATGCCAGTCAGGGTAAGGGAAATAGATCTTCATCTGAAGATCGGCAAAATCCATCATCTTTACCGTGGACAGGCTGCAGCCATGTCCCAAATTCCTCGTTTTCCAGACACTTTTGTTGAAATGAGCATTTTCCCATTCCCTAGCCTTTTCTCCGACTAGAGCTTCTTTTCCGAACATAAGGCTTCATGATCAACTGTAAGCAGTTTCCGCGGAAATTAATCGCAATATATCTGACGAAATAGTTTTTATAAACACTTTTTTTTTTTAATACAGCATTTCAAATGCCAATATAATCACAATTAGTGCCAATTAAGGCCTTCATTTAAAAATTATTAATTTAATGACTTTTAACTATTTGTAATGATCCACGGAAAACCCTGGTTCATTTACGCATGTTTTGCTGCTTTGAATTTAATAATATAGTCCATGCTCTCCTCAAACTCATAGGAAGTCTGAGCGGATCAACACGGTAGGAACAGCGGAGGATGTAGACATTTGCTCCAAGATAAACATTTAATCATCAATGCTCATTATAGATATAAGCCTAGATAGTCCTTCTTTATAGTGGGCTAATACACTTAGTGTTGCAAAACAAGGCTTATAGAGACTTTGCGGCTCCTGAGAGATTTGATTTTTGGGGGGTTTTTGAATGAAAGACATCTAAAGACGTCCGTCTGCAGGAGCTAAGCTGCTCAGAGCGGCCTGCAGCAGCCCGGCGGTTTTTCTTCTGTATTATTCTGCTCTCCTAACTCTCATCATTACCAGCTCTGACTGGTTGTAATGGCTGCGACTTGTGGGGGCGCGGCCTTTGAGAGGCGGTGGAAAAGCCAAACCAGCCGGTTTAGAAGAGGCAGAATGAGGAGGTTTCTTTTAGAAGTCAATAACTGAAACAGCAAAATAAAATCTGGAGCCTCATTTCTAATATTTCCTGTAAGTCTATGAACAATGAGGCTCCGCCCCCCCGCGCTCTGACAGCTGCTCCTGATTCAGCCAGCCCTAATCCCCAGAGAGCCTCACCTGTGGTGGATGAAATGTTTACATCGATGCTGATCTCTGGGATTCCGCCGTTCCTCAGTGATGCCACACAGGTGTAGGTGCCAAAGTCTGTAAACTTTAGGTCTATGATGTCCAGATTGGTGGTTCCTGGTGAGACGCTGGGGTCGGTGTGGGTGATGACCATTCGCTCAGAGCTCTTCAGAGGCCGGCCGTTCTTCAGCCAGCTGAACTGCAGCTCGTCTGAAGGCGTGGCCTCCACCTGGCAGCTGATCTTCACCTCCCGGCCAATTTGAATATTGTCTTCATTGTGGTACGGATCCGGTGTGATCCAGAACCGACCCTTACGTAGACCTGTAGATTGGCCATGAAAAGACATCAGATGGAACATCATCCATCCATCCATCATCCAGTCATAATCCATCCAGCCATCATCCTTCAACCCGTTACACATCCATCTATCATCCATCCATCCATCAGCCATCCATCCATCCATCCATCCATCATCCATCCATCCATCCATCCATCATCCATCCATCTATCAGCCATCCATCCATCCATCCATCAGCCATCCATCCATCAGCCATCCATCCATCCATCCATCATCCATCCATCCATCCATCATCCATCCATCCATCCATCCATCATCCATCCA